AACCAGGATTCAAATCTAGATTTCTTGACTCTAATGCTCCTCCCCTTATGCTATACTCCCTTAACATATGGCATCCCCAAATGTTAAGGATGCTAATAAAAATGACTGCATGTTCATTTTAACTATATGTAGACACTCTCCCCACCAAAATACACACTCACACACCCACCCACACCCACACACCATTTTGCCACTCTCAAAGCACCTGCTGCTACATAAGCCTGTTTATCATTTTAACCCCAATATTCTCCTGGGAATGCTCTACAGCTGCAAACTCGAGCAACCACTATCTCAAAAAATAGAAGGAAAAACCAGAGGACAATGGAGACGCAAGGGAGGCATACAAATGCAAATAGCTAAGGGCCTGTTATCAATGCTAACCTACCTATAATAAGCAGGATAAAGAGAAATTAACAGGAACACAAATGACTTGAAAAGAAAGTAAGCCACTCATGCTACAAAAATGAATGACAAAACTTCCAGTTAAGGTGGTATCGTGAAAGGTCCAAAACAAGCCCAGCTCTCCCACACAAACCCCAACAAACATCTGAAAACAGTCCCAGAAAGACCAATGATAAATATTAAAGAAAGCAAGTTCTCTCCATTCCATAGTTGCACAAAAAGATGACTGGAAAAGGGCAGAGACCGGTAGCGGGGTCAAAACAGATACGCAGCCACCAGCTCAGGTGAACAAGTAAGCAAGGGTTACACCCTACAGAAACCACTATGAACTCTAGTAACCGGGTACAAGCCAGTAAAGGTGAGGAAAGAAGAGGGACTGGGGTGAACAGGATGTCTTGAGCCAATGCCCAGTCTGTCAAAATGGAAGTGGGAGAGAGAATTAGCCCTAATACTCCACAGGGAGACCAATCCCAGCACGCACACCTCGGAGCTTTGGGAGTTGAGAAAGAAGGGAAGAGTCATGCTTACTCAGCTCCTGGGCACTAGCGTAGGGAGGAGGGTTATGCAGGAAATCGTATATTAACACGATCTTCATTAGATTGGTGTCCATTAGGGAAACTGCAGAGGACAGAACCAACTGCTGACTGAAGATCATGAAATAAAGAAGGAGACCACTCAAGGCCAGAACTCACAGTGGACCACTAGAAGACTGATTTAGACACCAGAAATTGAGGCAGAGGGTGGGACCTAATACCAGCCACTCATCTAGATGAACAGCAGCAAAGGCATACAGATTATCACAGGGACGGCCAAACAAGACCAATCCAAACCATCCACCAGTTCCACAGGGGACTGACCTGAGCACAATATCCCCAACAAGAACAACTGAAGATGAACATATAAGGGGAAAACACACACACAATCACAATTAAGAAATACTATGGGTTATACAAAGCCTAAGCAAAGGTAAATCCAGAAGAGAGTAACACAACTATAATCAGAACCCCAGAGAAAAAAATGGCTTGGCCCTAAGTACTACAAGAGTTGGTGGAAGAAGTAAATTTAGTAATAGATGAAACAAGAGTTTGGGAGGAAAAAAATTAAAAGGAAAAAGGAAGTGTAAAACCTTGCGCAGGTGGCAGACTTGATAACAGAATAGAGCAAACAGAATTCAAAAACTATAAAATAAAAAGATTTTTAAAAATAGAATAAAACTTAAGTTATTCTACAATCAAAAAATGACCCAGAAAACAGATTGAGGAAAGATAATTTAAGAGTCATTGGAGTCTCTGAAAGCAAAACAAAATTAAAAGCCTGGGTCCCATATTTCAAGTAATCATAATGGACAACTGCTCAGATCTTTTAGAACCATGGGGCAAAATGAAAATGTTCCTAAAAGAAATGCCAAACTGAAAATACTCATGAATGTGTCATAGCTAAAATCCAGAGCTTCTAAGTGGGAAAACAAAAACAAAAACAAAACTACAAGCACCTAGTATTTGAAGTCAGTTCCTTGAAGTATCAAGGAGCCACAGTCACACAACACTCAACAGGAAAGAAAATACTGGAGCATGATAGTCCCAAATGCAAAAGACAAAGGACTGTAATTAAGAGGAACATATCCTGCAAAAATGAATAAAATCCTACAAGGAGAAAAATGGGCCTTTAATAAAACTTTCAAGCTTTCCTAATGAAAATCCAAACCTGAATAGAAACTGTGAAGTATAATGAATTATAAAGCTAGCCTTTACATAGTCACTAATATGTGCCAGTCCTGGTGCTAAGCACTTCACACAAATTATCTCTTTTGATCCTCACAATAATCCTGAGGTAGGTGATATTATCCTCATTTTGCAGTTGAGGAAACTGAGGTAAAAGAGGTTAAGTGACTTGCCTTGGCTTAGGGTCTGAAAACACATTTGAACTTAGGTCTCCCTAACAACAGGCTCAGTACTCTTTCCACTCGGCCACCTACTGCCTCTATAAACGTATTTGAGCACTTCACAGGGTTATATGATGAAGTACTCACGATACAGAGAGAAGATGCAAATGCCCTTTCAGAATCCTAATGTTTTTAAGTGTCACAGAGGAAATTAAATAAGAAACACAAATGTTGGGTATAGTTTTATTCTGTTTTGTTGCTTTTAAGAAAGGAAAGAAGAAGGAGGGGGAAAAAAGGAATATATTAGTGAACGGGCGAGAAAGGAGAAAGAACTTACTATTTCATGTAAGTGGGGTAAGGGAGTAGACAGAGAGAAGGTTAGGGGAAGCAAGCATCTCATGACCTCTCTTATCAGATCAGATAAAGGAGGACTGAACACAGAGTCTGGTGCAGAAATGTATTTAAGTCTACAAGTATACAGGGAGAGCAAGGGAAAGAGAAGAGGAGAGTAATAAGGAGAGGAGTCACAGGGAAATAGTTCCAACTAAAACAAATTTCAATTTTGGAAAGCTGACCATAGGGGTGATTTTTTTTATAAAAGAGAGAAAGTGTAAGAACCAAAGATCACGGTCTGAACTTTGGTGATGAGAGGAGGGGCAAAGAAGTAGGAACAGTGGTAATTTCAATTATGGATTATTTGACTGCTGCTGCTTCACTATCCCCTTCTTGGTAAAAAGGAGGCTGAGAAGTAAAGAAGGAAAAGTATAAGAGGATATGGTGGAGGGAAATACATAATAACAACGCAATATCAGTCATGATTGTGACTATGAAAGGGATAAACTTATCTATAAAATGGAAGACAACAGCAGAATGAGACACAGATATCAAAAACTGGAAAGGAAAATTGGAATTGGAAAGCAAAATCCAACAATATGTTGTTTATAAGAAATGCACCTGAAACAGAAATATTCATATAGAATTAAAACAAGATGCTAGAGCATAATTTATTATGCTTCAGGAATTTTTTAAAAAACAGTTGTAGCAATCATGATCTCAGACAAAGCAACAATAAAATTATGCTTAATGGCACCATAGATAATATTAGTACTTAATATATACATACCAAATGGCATGACATCTAAGTACCTGAAGGAAAAGTTAATGGAATTACCAGGAAAAATTGATAGCAAAACTATTAATAGCTAAGAACTTCCTTTCAGACTTGGACAAATCTAACAAAAAGATAAATAATAAAGAAGCTAAGGCTTAGAAAATTTAATATGGAAAATCTATGCTGATTACTAAATGGGAATATAAAGTATATGACATCTTTTTTCTTTTTTAAAATTGTCCATGTATTAAATTAGGGCATAAAACTGCAAATACAGAAAAATGAATTATTAATATTTACTGATCACCATTTACTGAATATTTGCTGACCACAATAAAATAAAAATTAAAATCAATAAAGAGCCTTTGAGGAGAAGTTAAACTTACACGGAGACAATTCTAAAGAATTAGTGATCGGGGCAACTAGGTGGTGCAGTGGATAGAGTACCAGCCCTGGATTCAGGAGGACCTGAGTTCAAATCTGGCCTCAGACACATAACACTTACTAGCTGTGTGACCCTTAACCCCATTGCCTAACTTAAAAAAAAAAATTAGTGATCAAAAAACAAATCACAGAAACAATAGATAACTTCATCCAAAAAATGACAATGACACAAAACTTTTGGGATGTAGCCAAAGTAACACCTATGGAGAGATGGATATCAATGAACACTTTCATTAACAAAAGAGAGATCAATGAATTAGGCAACTAGAAAGAGGCACACACAAAAAAACCAGAAATACTGAAAATCAAAGAGATAAAAAAGAAAACAAAAATTGAAATGATAAAACTAGGGCTCAGTTTTATGGGGGGAAAAAACGAATAAAATAGACAAAATATTAGCTAGTATATCCAAAAAAGGAGAAGAAAACTAAACTGCCAATACCCAAAGTAAAGGAGTTAGAAACCATTCTGCCCAACTATATGCCAGAAAATAAATGAGATGGATAAACTGTTGGTCCATCCATTCTGGAAAGCTATTTGGAAATAAAATTCATGCGTATTATTTGACACAGAGATACACTAGGGCTAGGCACACCCAAAAGGTATTAAAGAAAAAAAAGGACTCACATACACAAAAATATTAATAGCAACAGTTTTTGTCCTACCAAAGAAAGTAAAGGGATGTCCCTTAAGTGGGGTAATAGCTTAACAAATTATGGTATCTGCACAATAAGAGATGATGAAAGCTACTGATAAAAAGAAACTGGGGAAAACTTGAATTGATGTAGTAAAGTGAGCAGAACCAGTATTATTTTTATGTTATAACATCAGAAAGGAAAACGACTTCAGCAGAATTAAGAAGTTTTTATCAATGCAATGATCACTCACAACTCCAGAAGACTGATGAAGCATGACTCTCACCCACTTCTTGGTGAAGAAAACAGACTATAGGTAAAGACATACTTGTCTAGATGTGATCCCAAATTTGTTTTGACTATGTTTTTGTTATAAAGAAAAGCAGGAAAGAATTGGGAGGAAAAGTGGGAAAACAGATGAAAAACAAAGGGGTAAGAGAGGAAAGAAGAGATGGTTAATGGTGCATTTAAAAAATAAGGAAACCAGAAGAGTAGGGCTCAGATGTGGACACAGACAAGCAGGAAGTATTAGTACTCCCACATTAAATTTAATATATATTTTTACAAAGAACAAGCTATATATAGGAGATTGTTTCATAACAATGCTCATTTTCTGGCTGTCCTTGCATATGGGAGTGGTCATGGTTTTCTAGTTCACAATCATTTTAAAAAAGGAATAACAAGCAATGGGTAATACTAGTACATTAATACCCCGAGATACAAAGGCCTCCAGCATGTTGAGTAATCCTTATCATCTGCACTCCTGCTGCACTTTAAGGACCAGTAGGCCTTTCCATCTGTACTACAGCTCCTATGTGGGTCCCTCCTATCCTTTTTGGAATGTGAATGAACTCTTTGAGAACAAGATTCTCTCACTTTTCTATTTTATGTCCCTAACATTTAGCACAGAGGTCTGTATATCATAAGAGCTTACTCAATGTTTTTTCATTCACTTATCATCTGTGAAGGAGAATGAGAAAGCAATGGGGGAAAACATGGATCCCTCAAAGCAAAGTACAGTCTCCAGTGAGTGGGGTCAGTCAGAAGGAGGGCTTCACAGGCAGGAAATGAAACATCCCATTCCCTTCCAGTGGCCAGGAACCCTACAGGTGGAAAGACTGTAGGGTAACACATAGTAACACAGCGATGGAGGAAGATCAGAGAGAGAATTACAGAACATTCCAGCTTCTGAAAAAAACTCACTACTTAGGCCCAAACAAGAAAGAGAACATAAACTTCTCCCTCACACAGTCTTTTTTATTTCAGGAGCCTGAACCAATGGCTTTCTCTGGGGTTGGTGGCAGAAAGCTGGAAAACCCACAACAGTACCTCTCTCTAAGAGCCTGAATGGTGGGGAGGGAACCGAGATCTCTGAATGCCCAGAGTGTGAAAAATGAAAAGGAGAACCATGGCCCAGCACAAATGTAGAAAGGAAAATATGGCTATCCAGCTGAGAAAGCAGTAGAACTCCATTCCAGCTACTTGGGTGTAACACGGAAGACCCGAATGTGGATGGCCGAGTTATTTCGGGTTCGGGTCAGTGGCTCCCGAGTGTTAGTCTCAGGCTCCAGCTCATCCACCAGCTCCACAGTGGACGTGTTGGCAGCCACTTGCAAGGCCCCAAAGCTGCTGGCTTGCAACTGCAGTGCAATGTTGATGGCTCGATTAATGGCCAGGCCCAGGCCATGAATATAAATCTCAGGACAGCCACCCTGGCCCCTACCCCCTCCACCACCATCCAGAAGCTTCTGACATCGAGCCAGCTGGGCTTTGAAGTCAGTCTTCATGTTAACATAGATGTCATTTGGTCTTCGGGGGAGACGGTGGGGAAGCCGCTTTCGAAGAGTGTACTCCACTGGGTCCAGTTCAGTCTCACTGGCTCCCCATGTCTCTCCATTCTCAGCCATAGCTCCTGTGTCCTGTGGATACATGGGAAGAAAGGAGTCAGCTAAACTGGATTCCATGTACCCCAGGATGAGAACTTGAGGAAGGGGACACATATATGGACTTTTCCCTCTTCATTCTTCTAAATAATCTAAGAATGCTAGATCTAGAAGACACCTCAGAGTTCATCCAGATCGGATGTTTTTAACCTTTTTTTTTTTGGCATAGGGACCTCTTTGGCAGTTTGGTGAAGCCTATGGATCCTTTCTCAGAATAATGCTTTTAAGTGTATAACATAAAATGCATAGGATTACCGAGGAAGCCACTTACATTAACATACAATTATGAAAATATTTTTAAAAGTTCATGGATCCCAGATTAAAAAACCCTGATCTAGGCCAAATGACTCATTTTACAGTTAAGGAAACTGATGCTTAGAAGAATCTTGCCAAATAACAGTAGGGTTTGTCAGTCTTTCTGACTCCCAGCGCAATCCAGTTTTCATTAGAGCAGAGAAGCAGATACTTATAAGTATGTAGCATTTTATGGTTACAAAGTACTTGCCATAACTTCCATTTAGCCTCACAATAACTACCACCTTCCCCCATACAAAGGAGGTGACCCAAAGTGTTAAGAGATTCAGTTACCGTCCTAAACCTCTTCCCTCAACCCGTCAGAGGGGGTGAGCCAAGAACCTGGGCTCAAAGACCACTAAGCTCCCCCAAATTCCCAACCCTGACTGACAGATGAATAACATAGATACAGACGTAGAGCTATTTCTATACACTTCATTCATCAGCCCTCATCCAAACTGGTTTGCCACCTACACAACTCACACCCACACGTTCCACAAACATACACACCACATACACACATATGCCACAATACTCCACACGCACATCACATACACTTCACATACTACACGTACACATTACCCACAGCGCACCAACATACCACACAAAAATCATACAACTACATACATACTCCACACACCCCCATCTCAGCTTCCCAGCTGTCCCTGCCCTACCCCACCCCACCCCACCCCCGGCACTCACCGCCGTGGGAAGGGAGCGCCTTCCTCCCCGGGTGCCGGGGCCGGCCCGCTCCTCACACGCCAGAAGCACCTCAAGGAAGGAGTCGCCCGCAGAGGAGCAGCCACACCACCTATGGAAGCAGCGTCGGGATCCCGAAGCGCGAGTAACAAAGCGCATGCGCACCTGGCCCCGGAGGCTTGATCCATTAGACTTCCGTGTTTGCACCAATCGCCTGCCCCCTTCTTGGGTTTCGCCCTCCCATTCCCCCTTTCCTCTCTACTCCGGCTTGCGTGTTTTGGAGTCTCGCGAGGTTTCTAAAAGGGGGGGATGGGATCTCTCGAGTGGAAGAAAGTACCACGTGAAAGGAGGGGACGGAGCCCAAAAGAAGAGGGCGGGGTCGGGTGGAAGGGGACTTGAGTTCGGCTGCTGGGGAAGTGGGGAAGGGAAGGGGAGCTCCTTGGGGCTGCTGGCTTGATGTTCCTTTGGTGTGCGAGGGAGAAGGGGAGGATCTGGGCGGGCCTTGCAGGGCCGAGCTAATACGGGCTTCCTGCCTGGAGGAGGAGGCTGAGCTGTCTGGTGAATTGCCACAGCCCCAGGCGTTCAGGCCAAATCCGAGGACACCCTGGCGGGACCTATCTTTGCTAATCTTCACCCTGGGGCACTCTGCTGCCAAGGGTTAGGCTAATTAGCCTCCTTACCATCTGCATGGCACTTTACAAAATATTTTCAAATATGGTCTCATGTGTGATGCAAAACCCTGGATAGAGGACTGGACCTGGAGTCGGAAAGATCCCTAGTTCAAATTGGAACAAATGAAAATTCCGAGAGACAGTGTCTGGGTAATTAATAAGCAATTTATTAATTAGGTTAACACATAATAAATTGAGGTCAATGGTTTTTGTGGAAACCAAAGACCTCCTCCCTCCCCTCAAGGAGGCTGCTGAATGTTTAAATACCCTTGGAAAAGGGGGTGTCCCTGAGGGTGGAAATTGTGGAAAGCCCTGTAGATGCACTGGACACAGAAGAAGCCTGTTTGCTGAAAGGAGCTAATCAGGAGCCTGTAGTGAGCCAAAATATGGCTTGCTCCCAGATGCCTTTGTTGGTGCTGCAGGCTGGCCTTGCTCAATTGTGGCCTCCCCCACTTCCCCAAACTTGCCCAAACCAGCCTTGCAGTCAGCTGTTCCTGCAAACCATCTTGCTTCTATGTCCACCTGTTCCTGGGAAAGATTGTCCATTCTTTTTCCCAGCCCCTCCCTGAACGTCCTCTTTGTAGTTTTCAAGCATAAATCTCCCCTGCCTCTCCTGGGCTGTGGGCTCCTTTGTATGTGGGGGTTTTGGAACTAGTGTGTGATTTTCCTCCTAATAAAACTTCTGCTTTCAACCTAGCTTGGAAGTCTCTACATTTTGAGGGGTGGGCTTCACCTGGTTGACAAAATCAACTCTGATTGGTTAACAATGAGAAAATTAACATTATGATGAGAGGTGGACTGTTTCTAAAGAGGGACTGGGTACTGACTTTGATTAGGTTTGAGTTCTTGAACAGAGACCTGTCTCCACCAGTCATGCCTGAGTAGAACAATGGTGGGGTTACAGTAAGAATTCCATGAAAATAAGATGCTCTGGGTGGGATGAATTTTTGGGCAAGGTCATAAAAGTCCTTGAGAGGCTTTGAATGAGTAAGAGAGTCCCTTATATTTGGGTCCCTTATATAAAATTGATTGTTAATGTAATAAAGTAATAATTTTTCTCAAAATCCTGGTCTCAGACACTGTGTGACCCTGCACGAGTCACTTAACCTCTGCTGAAAGGAGCCAATAGGAGCCTGTAGTGAGCCAAAGTCATTTTGCTCACTTTCAGTTTCCTCATCTGTAGAACAAAGTTATAGCACCTACCTCCTAGGGTTGTTGTGAAGATCAAATGATAATTGTAAAGCAATTGGCACCTAGTAGGCACTATATAATGTTAGCTATTAGATAAGCAGAATTGGTGATATTCCCACTTCATAACTTAGTTAACAGAGACTGAGAGGGAATAAGTGACTCTTCCAAGGTGACCCAAAATATTCCCTGTCATGGCCATGATGCTCTCCATCCCCAATGTTTCCTAAGTTTCATATTAATTCTGAAAAAGGCATTAGTAGAGGTCATTCATAAAGAGGAGGATGAGGTTCAAGAATCAGGTCATCCAGAAAGAATTCAAGAGGCAGACATTCTCCTAGTCAAGAGGGCTTTATTGACACAAAAGCTGCTAGTCCTTAAGGGTACTAGCAGCTTGGAGAAGAACAGGAGCTTGCTTTTATACACAAATCTTGGGCACTCAACCAGGAATTAGGTATGCTTCTTTGTGGGCAGTTAACCACAGGGAAGAGGAAGCAGGTGTGTTGGGTACTTTTAACCACAGGGAAGGGGAGGCAGGAAAAGGGAAACACAGATGTGTCTTTTTTTAAATAATTTATTTTTAGTTTTTAACATTCACTTTCACAGGATTTTGAGTTCCAAATTTTTTCCCCATCTCTCCCCTCCTCCTACCTCAAGATGGCATTCATTCTGAATACCCCTTCCCCAAATCTGCCCTCCCTTCTATCACCCCTTCTCTTATTCTCTTCCTTTTCTATTTTCCTGTAGGGCAGGATAGATTTCTATACCCCATTGCCTGTATGTCTCATTCCCAGATGCATGTAAAAATGATTTTTAACATTCGTTTTTAAAACTTTGAGTTCCAAATTCTCTCCCTTCCTCCCTCCCCACTCACTCATTCAGAAGGCAAATAATTCCGTATAGGTTATACATCTGTAGTTATGCAAAAAACTTCCATAATAGTAATGTATATAATATATATATATATATATACATATATATATATATATATATATATATATACACACACACACACACACACACACACACACATATAATTCCCTCCATCCTATCCTGCTCTCCTGTTTATTCTATTGTCTCCTTTGGCCCTGTCCTTTCTCGAAAGTGTTTGCCTCTGATTACTTCCTCCCCCAAACTGCCATCCCTTCTGTCATCCCCTCCTCTTTTATCTCCTTTCCCCTATTTTCCTGTAGGGTAAGATAGATTTCCATACTCAGTTGAGTGTGTATGTTATTCCCTCCTTAAGCCAAATCCAATGAGAATAAGATTCATACCCTCTCACCTACCCCCTCTTTCCCTCCACTGTAAAAGCTTTTTCTTGCCTCTTTCATGTGAGATGATTTACCCCATTCTACTTCTCCCTTTTTCCTCCTCCCAGTACAATTCTCTCTCACCCTTTAATTTTATTTTTTATATATCATCCCTTCATATTCAACTCATCCTGTACCCTTTGTGTGTGTGTGTGTATACATGTATAATATATATATATATATATATATATATATACATATATATATATATACATATATATATATATATTCCCTCCAACTACCCTAATACTGAGAAAGGTTTCATGAGTTACAAATATCCATCTTTCCATGAATTGTAAACAGTTCAGCTTTAATAAGTCTCTTATGATACCTCCTTTTCATGCCTCTCTTGAGTCTTGTATTTGAAAGTTAAGTTTTCTATTCAGCTCTGGTCTTTTTCTACTTTGCCAGAGGACTGAGGGTGCCAGGCAGAATGAAGATGGCAGATCATGTCTAATCCCTCAGCAACTCCCTAATGACCTGGAAAGTGAATGCTGGTCCATTATCACTTTGTAAGGATTGAGGGAGCCCAAATGTGGGATTGATCTCATTCAAAAGTACCTTAGTCACTTCTGCAGCTTTTTCAGTGCAGCAAGGGAAGGCTTCTACCCAGTTTGTAAAGGTCTCTATTAGCACTAAGAGAAGCTTAAAGCCTCTGCCGGGTGGCATATGCATAAAATCTAGTTGTCAGTCCTTGCTTGTGAAGGTCTCTCCATTTTGGACAGGGGTAAGGAGAGATGGGCATCTCGCTGCTCCTTCAGGGTTGGCTTAGGCAGATACAAAGCCAGCCTTGCAAACCTGCCTAATTGTTTCCAGTATCTCAGGTCCAGTAAAGAGGGGTTTCACTAGATTGTAAAGGGTATGCTTTCCTAGATGGGTAGCCTGGTGGAGTCCAAGAAGGAGTTTCTACATTCTGCATCCTGGGATTGCTAATTGACCAGAGGGTAACTTATACCAACCATAAGGGAAGAGTTCAAATCCATTAGCCTGATATTGTTATTGTTCCTCAATGATATATTTCAGGAGTGAAAGGGTAACCTGAGGTATCAAGGATGTCATCAAGACTGAATCCCAAATGGTGGATTTAGTGGCCTTCTTTTAGTGCCAGTTGGTTTCCCATAGCCTGTTTGGATTCCCCCTTCTGGTGGCCTCTGCAATATATAACTGCCACCTCCTTAGGAGAGTATACTATCTGGAGAAGGTGCAGAATTTCGATCCCATGTTTAACATGGGGAGTTCTTTGTGGTCAAGAATCCCTGCTCCTCTCTCTCTCTCTCTCTCTCTCTCTCTCTCTCTCTCTCTCTCTCTCTCTCTCTCTCTCTCTCTCTTTTGCTAGGCAATGGGGAAGTGTCAAGCGTTTGAATCCACATTTGAACTCATGTCCTCCTGACTCCAGGGTCGGTGCTGTATCCACTGCGCCACCTAGCTGCCCCTCCTGCTCCTTTCAAATAGTGCCATGGGCACGTAAAGCGTGGAAGTCATATTTGGAGTCTGTAAAGATGTTTACTCTTTTGTTTTCCCCTAATTTCAGGGCTCCGGTGAACACTATGAGCTTGGCCTTTTGTACAGAAGGTCCTCAAGGGAGAGGCTCAGATTCTATAGTGCCCTGTAGGCTGATTATTACATAACTGGATCTCCTTACCCCTCCTTTCACAGAGCTAGAACCATCAGTACGCCATTCCTCCTCAGAATTAACAAGGAAGGAGTCCTTTAGATCAGGACGGCTAGAATGTACAGAATTCACAATTGTGGGTGAGGCTCTCAGAACCACTGGAATCAGGAAGTAAAGTGGCTGGATTCAGGGTGTCACATACACCAGGAGTCAGGTCAGTGGTCTCTAGCAGCCTGAAAAGGGCAGGGTTCTCATCTGGCTCTTGTGTAATTTCTCTTGTTTTGTCATAGCTCGCTTGTTTCTTTAGGCCACCTTTCATGCTTTCTAAAAGGCAGGTGATCATATGATCCCTTCTCTCCTGAGCCACATCATCAAGATAATTCCAGGAGGAAGCGAGAGGGATGGCCATTGCCCCAGG